GCCCCAGAGATGTATCGATACACCTGGACTGGCCCCTGCACTTGGTAGGCTATTTCATGTCACAGACCAGGGTCATTTCTGAGCCCTCTTGGTCTCTCCATAGGTTGTAGAGTATCCGGAGTACTTGGATCTTCGCCCATACATGTCTCAGGCAGATGGAGAACCACTCCTCTACTCCTTATATGCTGTCCTGGTGCACAGTGGTGCCAGCTGTCATGGAGGACACTATTTCTGCTACACAAAGGTAAAAGAGTAACTTCCTTCCCGATGGGGAAAAATGTGTGCTGGGGAAGATAAACTTTCCTGTCAGTGTTACTGACAGCCAAAGTTTTGGGGCAGAAGGCCTCCTTAGTGGCTGGACTGCATTTGTTTTGACATGCTCTCGGTTTGGCAGTTTCCTACCTGTGTTTTTGGAGAGAAACCATGGAGAGATCCTTGCCTTTTTTTTACAGGCCAGCAATGGATTGTGGTACCGGATGGACGATGAATCTGTGGAGCTGTGTTCCATTGACACAGTTCTCAGGCAGCAAGCCTACCTGCTGTTCTATGCCAGGTAATAACCAGGATTCAAATATCTTCAGAATACATTTCCTTTTCCTCATTTGCAGTTGTGCTTCTCACCTTCCTGAGTGTTTTTCTCATCAAATGAAATTACTACCTGCATCATTCAGTGCTGTCAAATCTGAACTACTCCGTGTCTGTCCTTTACTGGGCTTCAGGCTGCGGCCCGGATGTAATCTGCTACTTGCCTGGTCTCTGATGTTGACTCTTGTAGATAAGAGGACTTAAAGAGGACCTCCAGGAAAGATGGGGAGGCACCATTTGTCAGGGAATGTAGCGACAGGATGAAGGCTATCAGTTTTCAGCTAACAGAGGGCAGGTTTACACTAGATATTGGGAAGGAATTCTTTGCTGTAAGGGTGCTGAGACACTGGCACAGGTTACCACAGCATCTGTGGGTGCCCCATCCCTGGAAGTGTTCAAGGCCAGGTTGGACAGGGCTTGGAGAAACCTTGGAATAGTGGAGGGTGTTCCTGCCCACCACAGCGGGGTGGAACAAGATAAAGTTAAAGGTCCCTTGCAACCCAAACAAATCTGTGAATTTATGAAATGGAGGCTGTGGGAGGTATGGAGATGAGGTTTTTATTGGGACAGAGGCAAACTTGGTGGGAAGACCCTAGCTGAGTTTCCCATTAGTGTCCTTGGTTAAGTCTTCTCTCTGTCATAGAAACCTCTCTGAGAAAATGACTGAACCCCAGAGGAGGTTGCAACAACAGCTCTAAACTGAGATCACTCTTTTGTTTTTCTCCAGATGCTCTGATCTGAGAATTGGAGAAAGGCCTTCTTCCTCACTGGCACCATCACATGCCCCTTCCTTCCTCAGCCAGTGTGTGGCCAGCAGCAAGCAGGCGGGCTCTGTTGGACCACAGGGTCTGACTGGTAGGACTAAGGTAACTTTGGGGTCGTGGGTCAGGGCATCAGAGGAATAGTGGATTTCTTTCTGGGATCCCAGCATTTCTCTTTTGTCCCTCACACACCGCACCTTTCTTCACAGCCACAACGCTGCTCCCTCTCAAAGCATCCCACCTGGATCCATCCCTTTGGTGCGCCTCTGGCCTTTTGGTTTTAGTAGCCCTCCAAAAGAGCCTTTTGGAGGCCCCAAACTGTCCTGTCCCAGAACTTGTAGGGGTTCCCCACTGCTCTGATCCTTTCAGGAGAAAAGGGCAGGAACTCTCCACAGCTCTCTTTGCAGGGCATGAAGTACACTGGCAGGGAGCGGTCCCGGAGCAGATCCCCTCTGTGGGGCAGGGATCTCCGCAGCTGGTCTGTGGACACCGCAGACTATGATGACGCTTCAGAGAGAAGAACTGGTCCTCCAAGTCGTGACCGTGGTCCTAGGGATAGCACAGCTGCCAGGCCTTCCAAGAGGATCTGCCGGTGGGCTCCCGCTCCCAGGGCTGCTCAGGAGCAACCCTTGCTGAGGCAGAGGGAGCCAAGCAGATCTGTGCGGGGAACTTACAACCTTCGCAGCCGGTTTGTGCAGTACACAGACTATGACCGCTCACTGCGGAAGAGAAAGAGGGAGAGAACAAGTCCTCCACGTTGTGACCAAGTCTTAGTGAATACTGCAGTTCCAGGGCCCTCCAAAGCCAGCTCCAAGCAGGCTCTCATGCTCCGGGCTGCTCGGGAGCAAACCCCACAGAGGCAGAGAGAGCAGAGAAGATCAACAGGGCGGGGCTATGATTGCCACAGCCAGTTTGTGCAGTACACAGACTACCGCCCTTCAGAGAAGAAGAGGAGGGTTTCCATGCCCCAGAGATTCACGTCAGACAAGCATTCAGGGCACTCTGGCAATGATGGCGTTGGATTATGGCCCTGGCTCAAGCAGAACGGAAGACTAGCACTGCGTTTATTAGCGAAGGCATCCTTGTTTTCGACACGCCTTCTCAGACCTAAGTGAATGATTTTGCTAAGTAGATGATAGTTATAATAATATAGAAATATTAATAGAAATATAGAAATATATATGGAAATATAGAATATATATATAGAAATATAGAAATATATATAGAAATATAATATAGAAATATACATAGAAGTAATATTTTATAATACATTATTACATGTTATATATATTCAGCAATAGATAGTAATGTTATAATAAATGTTATTAAAATATTAAAATAATAAATACTAAAATACTTTAGTCAGAATTATTTATTCCACATTGTAGATAATTATAGCTAGAAACATAGTGCAGTATTTGGAAGCAGTGTTGAAGCAATTATATTAAAGCTAAGAAAACAAATATTAAGTAGAGATTGATGGTTCCCCTTCCCAGGACCATGGGCAAATCACTTTCTCTCCGGCTCAAGGAGTAACCTTGATGGCTGTCCCCACTCAATGGATGAATCCCCACACACTGTCCAAGACGGAGCTGTTAGAAGTCCCTCCCATTAAAATCTGAGAACAGGGCTTTTCTAGTGTAAAGTGACAGGGTGCCAGTCAAGTGTTGCTCAGGGAGCTGTGCCAGCTGAAGCTGGATGCTCTGCCTAAGCAGGGATATAGCAGCTCCAACTGTGTCTTGTTTATGACTTGTCAGTGATGGTTTGAGCAAGGATGGTCTGCTGATCACTGATAGGAGTGAGCAAGGAGGGTCTGCTGCTTTTAGTGTTGAAGAATGCTGAGACCAGCTTGGCCAAACTATCAGACCCACTACTGGAGCCCAAAATGTCAGGCAGGATAAATCAAACTCTCAAATACTATTTTTAGTACTAGGAAGCAGGTAATACTTTATTTCATGGGGGATCACTCCTCTAAAGATGCGTGTGCAACTTCAAAACTTTTCACAATTTACACATTTTATCAAACAAAGAAATTAATGTTCATGGGCTATAAATTGCATAATTCAGTTCATTAATTAGTATTCTATCTTAGTTATTGATTTCTTGCTTCTCATGCTATTAGTCCATGTTTTAGGCGCTTTCATTATTTCTCCCAGATAGACAGGGTTTCAGTACAATTGCCAAATTGTCTTTGTTAGTTCCTTCTTTGTCTCAGGGTTCTGCAAAATTTATGTCCTTTTGGTACATAAATTCTGCATTCCTTGTGTCCCATTTCAGCAATATCTCTCTTCCCCAGGTCTGAGATCATTGAAGCATATCAAGGTTGATTATAGTTTTTTTAACAAAACTCAAAGTTTCAGTAATTTTCCCAAGCTGCATTCCCACTATAGAAGCTTATGATAAAACCTTACTAAATGCTGGCTATAGTGGGGTATCACAGGGTGGAAAATAAGAGTACTTAAAAAAATTAATTAGGAAAGTTAAGTAAAATTACTGAGTAAGCCTGAAAAGACATAATCTAAAGATGTATATGACTGATAGTCAATCACTTTATACAATAAAAGTCCAGTCCCCCTTTTGCATACCAAGGACTTCTAGATACCTCCCTAAGGTAGATCCTTCCTTTGAGTGGGGAAGCCCCTCAAGGTCACTCCTCAAGGCTGAGCAAAATAGATTTGCCCACGGTTGTTGGTAGGAGTGAGTAACATCGATCTCTAATAAGATCTAATCTCTTAATAATTGTTTTGCTAGCTTTAATATAATTGCTTCAATATAATTGTTCACTGACAAAGCTCCCCAAGAATGGGCTATGCCTTCTACTGGCAACATTCCATCATGGGGCTCCAGGACTCCCTGGGCAGGCTGAAGGTCCGGATGCAGCCCAGTGCTGCGCTCAGCTCGGGCACCGCTATGGTGCGTGCTGCCCTCATGGAAGGCCCCATTCACTGTAGAAACAGGATCCCCATAGTCCCTCATCCTGGGCCTCCCCATCCCTGGCCTTACACCTTTGTGTCCAGGGCAGGCCCTGCTATGGAGAGCAGAGAGGCTCTGCTGCCACTCTGGGGGTGCCCATGAGCTGTGGAACAGCTCTAGAGGCCAAGTACAGGGCTGAGCTCTCCATGGGACTGTGGCCTCAGGCAGATCCATTTTCCTTTCCTTGTCTCTTTTCCACTCATGTCCCAAGAATGCAATTCAGGTATTAGTCAAGATATGATTTTCAAAGATCTTTAAAATCTGCTGCCTGTCCTTACTTTATTGTTAGTAAGTTTATTATAAGGAAATTTCTACTGAAGAATCAAACCTAACTTTCTCACTACATGGGACAAGAATTAGATTTCCCATTTTATACTAATGCCCAGTACTTGGAAGAAAAATGTTTCCTGGTTCTTATTTGCTCTGATGTTGATTTGGTTATCCACTAGTAGAAAGGAACAAACAGGCTGTCTACCTACTGTACTGCAGTAACTTATTTTACACCCCAGATATTTATGTCTATTTATTTATAAAAATCTGATGATACTCACTGCACTGGAAATATTTAGACCTGACAAAGCAAGGCAATGACATTCAATATTTATCTATAAGAAATACCTCTAATATTCTGGGCCATTGATAACCTATGAATCTCTCCTGTAAACTGTTCCAAAACAAAAGAATACTGTAATTCTGTGCTTTATGAATGCATTTCCTTTCTGTTTCCTTTTCTCCAGAAAGTAGTGCACCAACAAACATTTCATGGCACTGAAGATCTCCCTGTTCCTCAAGGTGTAGATCATGGGGGTGATAAGGGGAAAAACCATGGTGTGGAACACAGCCACTACCTTGCCCAGAGGCAACGTGTAGAAAGGCCAGCAGTAAATGTATATATAGCTAGTACAAGCATAACAAAGACAATAATGATGTGGGTAGCGCAGGTAGTTGCTGCTTTGCTCTCCCCTCTGGAGAGTGTTTTCAGACAGATTATAGAATCATAGAATCATAGAATCATAGAATCGATTGGGTTGGAAAAGACCTCCGAGATCATCGAGTCCAACCCTTGGTCCAAATCCAGTCCATTTACTAGATCATGGCACTCAGTGCCACGCCCAATCTGCGTTTAAAAATCTCCGGGGATGGTGAATCCACCACCTCTCTGGGCAGCCCATTCCAATGCCTGATTACTCTCTCTGTAAAGAATTTTCTCCTGATATCCAACTTAAATTTCCCCTGGCGAGGCTTAAACCCGTGCCCCCTTGTCCTATTGCTGAGTGCCTGAGAGAAGAGACCAACCCCCACCTGGCTAGAACTTCCCTTCAGGTAGTTATAGATGGTGATGAGGTCACCTCTGAGCCTCCTCTTCTCCAGGCTAAACAACCCCAGCTCCCTCAGCCTCTCCCCATAGAACTTATGCTCCAGTCCCTTCACCAGCCTTGTTGCTCTTCTCTGGACCCGCTCCAGCACCTCAATATCCTTTCTGAACTGAGGGGCCCAGAACTGAACACAATACTCAAGGTGTGGCCTCACCAACGCAGAGTACAGGGGAAGGATCACTTCCCTGCTCCTGCTGGCCACGCTATTTTTGATACAGGACAAGATTCCATTGGCCTTCTTGGCCACCTGGGCACACTGTTGGCTCATGTTGAGCTTCCTGTCAATTAGTACCCCCAGGTCCCTTTCTGCCTGGCTGCTTTCCAGCCACTCGGTGCCCAGCCTGTAGCGCTGCAGGGGGTTGTTGTGGCCAAAGTGCAGGACCCGGCACTTGGCTTTATTGAACTTCATCCCATTGGAATCAGCCCATCTCTCAAGTCTATCCAGATCCCTCTGCAGAGCCCTCCTGCCTCCCAGCAGGTCGACACTCCCTCCCAGTTTGGTGTCATCAGCAAATTTGCTGATGATGGACTCAATCCCCTCATCTAAATCATCAATAAAGATGTTAAACAGGACTGGACCCAACACAGACCCCTGGGGAACACCACTGGTGACCGGCTGCCAGCTGGATGCAGCTCCATTCACCAGCACTCTCTGGGCCCGACCCTCCAGCCAGCTCCTAATCCAGGAGAGGGTACACTTGTCCAAGCCATGGGCTACCAGCTTTTCCAGGAGTATATTATGGGAGACAGTGTCAAAGGCCTTGCTGAAGTCTAGATAGACCACATCCACAGCCTTCCCCTCATCCACCAGGTGGGTCACCTGATCGTACAAAGAGATCAGGTTGGTCAGACAGGACCTGCCCCTCCTAAACCCGTGCTGGCTGGGTCTAATCCCTTGTCCATCCTGAAGGTGCTGTGTGATTGCACTCAGGATGATCTGCTCCATAACCCTGCCAGGCACCGAGGTCAGGCTGACAGGCCTGTAGTTGCCACGGTCCTGCTTGCAGCCTTTTTTGTGGATTGGGGTGACATTCGCCAACCTCCAATCATCTGGGACCTTCCCAGAGAGCCAGGACTGTTGGAAGATGATGGAGCGCGGTTTGGCAAGCTCTTCTGCCAGCTCCCTCATCACCCTGGGATGGATCCCGTCTGGTCCCATAGACTTGTTAGGATCCAGCTGGCTCAGTAAGTTGCTAACTACATCCTCCTGGAATACAGGCGGGCTATTCAGCTCTCTGTCTCTGTCTATCTGCTCTAGAGGCCAGTTGTTCTGAGGGCCACCTGTCTTACTGCTAAAAACTGAGGCAAAGTAGGTGTTAAGTACCTCAGCCTTCTCCTCATCTTTGTTAACTATATTTCCCTCCAAGTCCAACAGAGAATTGAGGTTTTCCTTGCCCCTTATTTTGCTATTAATGTATTTATAAAAGGACTTTTTGTTATCCCTAACTGAATTAGCCAAATTAACTTCAAATTCCACTTTTCTTTCCCTAATTTTTTTCCTTCATGACCTAGCTCTCTTCGTAAATTCTTCATAAGTAGCCAGCCCTTTTTTCCACAGTCTGTAAACTTTCTTTTTATCCCTGATTTCTTTCAGAACCTCCCTATTTAACCAAGCCGGCCGTCTTCCCCTCCGGCTGGCCTTTCGGCACACTGGAATAGCCTGTTCCTGTGCGCTCAAAATTGCCTGCTTGAAGCATGTCCATCCCTCCTGGACCCCCTTGCCTTTAAGGGTTGTTTCCCAGGGTATGCCCTGAATTAGTTTTTTGAATAGGCCAAAATCTGCCCTCCGGAAGTCCAGAGTAGAAGTTTTAATGATGGCTCTCCTTACATCCCTGAGGATTGAAAATTCTATTATTAGTAGGACATTGTAGCAAATCAGCAGAAAAATGAAACATATAAAGATGACTAGGTCATTGTTGACAAACATAATAAACTCCAATATGTAAGTGTTGGTACATTCTAACTTAATCACTTGTGTAACACCACAAAAGAAATTGTTGAGTTCATTTGGGCCACAGAAGGGAAGATGAACAACAAATACAACCTGGATGAATTTGTGAATCCAACAGCCCATGCTGTCCCCACCAAGACCCAAAAGAGTGTTTTCCTCATTAAGGTTGCGTAATGAAGATAGCCACAAATAGAATAGCACTGGAACAGGCTAAGGTCTCACTGGTTAGGAGAGAATTTTGCAGAAAAACATCTGGGGGCATCCAAGTGGACAAAGTGAATGAGCAAAATGCCTTTGCAGAAAAGGGCAGCTGTATCCTGGACCATGCTAGCAGCAGTGATGCCACCATGACAAGTGAAGGGATTCTTTCCTTTTATTCAATACTTCTGAGATCTCATCTGAAGCATGGTGTCCTGTTTTTCTGCTCCCTAGAACAAAGAAGATACTCCTATACTTGAGTGAGTCCAGAGGAAGGCCAGAAAGATGGTGAGGAGCTGGTGCACAAAATGCACAAGGGAAGACTGAGAAAGGTGTGTTTTGCAGGTTTGAAAGGAAAAGGGTCAGGGAGATTTTATCACAGAATCACAGAATATGCTGAGTTGGAAGGGACCCACAAGAATTATTGATTGAGTCCAGCTCCTGGCCATGCACAGGACCATCCTGAAGAGTTGGACCATGTGTCTGAGAGTATCATCTAAATGCTTCTTGAGCTCTCTCAGGCTTAGGGCTGTGACCACTGCCCTGAGGAGCCTATTCCAGCATCCAACCACCCTCTGGGTGAAGAACCTCTTTCTGGTATCCAATCTAAACTTTCCCTGACACAGCTTCAGGCCATTCCCTAGGCTCCCGTTACTAGTCCTCACAGAGAAGAGATCAGTGTCTAGCCCTCCTCTTCCCCTTCCGAGGAAGTTGTAACTGCAATGACATCTCCCCTCAGTCTCCTCTTCTCCAGCTGAACAGACCAAGTGCCCTCAGCTGCTCCTCACATGGCTTCCCCTCAAGGCCCTTCCCCATCCTCGTTGCCCTCCTTTGGATGCTGTCAAATGGCTTGATGTCTTTTTTTTATTGTGGTGCCCAAAACTGCCCCAATACTGCAGGTGAGGCCATCCCAGGTCAGAGCAGAGTGGGACAATCCCCTCCCTGGACCAGCCAGTGATGCTTGGCCTGATGCCCTCCAGGACACACGGTTGGCCCTCCTGGCTGCCAGAGCACTGTTGGCTCGTATTGAACTTGCCATCAACCAGGACCCTCAGGTCCCTTTCTGCAGCACTGCTTTCTCATTCCCCGGTCTCTCTGTGCATCCTGGGTTGCCCCATCCCTGTTGCAGAATCGATCACTTGCTGTTAAACATCATACGGTTTGTGAAGTCCTCAAGTGAAGTCCCAGCCCTCTAATTTGCCAAGATCTCTCTGTAGGACCTTTCTGCCTTCGAGGGAGTCAACAGCTCCTTCCAATTTTGTATCATCTGCAAACTTACTTAGTATCCCTTCCAGTCCTGCATCCAAGTTTATGAAGGTGTTTGTGCTGGTTTAAAGGTAAACTGGCAAGGGAAATGAACTCAACTCAAAAGAGATTATGTCAGAATAACAATTTAATAAAAATAATACAATAAATACAATTATACAGATGAACAATTGGTTTTAACCCACAAACCCCCCAGCACCCTGGGGCACGAACGGAGCGGTGTTCGTTGGGCCCCCCTGAGTCCAAAGTAAAAGGAGAGGGAAAAACCTGTTGGTGAGAGTGCTGGTCACAGTCCGGTCGAGGGTGGTGACCGCAGTCTGGCTGATAGTGGTGATCACAGTCCGGTCGAGAGTGGTGGTTGCAGTCTGGTCGAGGTTCTGGTCCTCCTTTGGATCCAACGAATGGTACCAGAAGTCCCAAGACCCCAGTACTATATGCACTCAAGTTCAGGCAGGAATGCCCAGTACTTCCCCCAGGGTGGGGAGTTCCACAATGGGTGAGATATTTTTGGAATCCTTGGTGGCCTGTTAGCAGACATGACCCCTCCGGCTGGGTGTGGAGGTGCTAATGACTCCCTGGAGGGGAGTTAACATCACCCATAACTATAGCCTGAGGAGTCAGGTGTGCTCTGGGCAGCTGCTGCAAATGGTCTATTGTTAACAGTTTCTGGGAAATTACATGGAGGGTGTAGAATACACAGTGGATGTTACACCCACACAGTGATGAACTGGTCCTAGCTGTTCTAACGAGGACAGTGTTGAACAGCACTGGGCCTAAAATGGAGCCCTGTGGAACTCCACTATGGGTAGGTCACCAGTCTGATGTCAGCCCGTTCACTATTACCCTCTGTGCTTCACCCATGAGCCAATTGCTTACTTATCATATGACGTGTTTATCCAGCTGTCGGCTGGACATTTTGCCCGGAAAGATCCTGTGAGAAACAGTATCAAAAGCTTTAGTGAAATCCAAAAAGATTACATCAGCTGGCTTCCCTTGGTCAACTAGGTGGGTTACCTTGTCCTAAAAGGTCAGAAGATTTGACAAGCATGACTCCATGCTGGCTGTGACTGATGACTGCATTGTCCTTCAGGTGTTTTTCAATACCTCCTAGTGTCCCAGTGTACAGGTTCCCAGAATCTGAAGTGATGCAATTTTATCTTTATTATCCTCTTCTTTATGGTGTAAACTCTACTAAATCACTTGAAATGATCCTTGACACAAATCTGTATCCTTGACACAACCTTTGTGTCTGTCTTATTGGGATCAAAATGAACTAGCAATTCCTGGTGCAAAACACCCTTGCATGCTTCTCCCATTTGAATGACTAATTCCACATCCACTGTCTTAGTTTAGCAAAGAAAAAGTGAAGAGTTAAGAGGTAAACTAGGATCCCATGAATCCTCCAAGTGAGTACATAGTAAAACCAGAAGAAAAAAAAAAAAACGAAAAATAATTAAAGTTTTAACCTCACTTTTAAAAATTTCATGTCTCAAATCAGCTTCCCTATGACCATCCATTTCCTTGACACTCAAGTAGTTTCTGTCATTCCACAGTCAACCTTTTTTTTTTACACAAAAAGAGACATTGTTTTCTGTTTTCAATTCAGAAACCTAAGATATATATATGTTGGTATAAATTCATTGTTTTGACTTCAAAAACAAACATACAGCAATGAAGATGTCTAAGTGATAGGTCACCTCTTTCTATGGCAGAAATCTGGTTTAGAACAGATAAACTGTGTATTTGAAGCAAAGAGAAACCTTACCCCTTCAAACTTTCAAATAAACTTCCTTCATAAAATAGAGTTGAAGAGCTCATCTGGGAAATCTCTTCATCAGAACTCACCAGAAGATTAATGTCTTAAATATTTGCGTAGTACTTCTCATTAGGTCCATTGTCCCCTTCTCTGATAATTTCTTGCACTCGTCATAGTGTGTTTTTAGAAAAGCTACACAGAAATGTTTTCACGATATTCAGAGAATATAGCGCATTTCATCTTATCACAGGTAAATACATCTGCAAAGCAAAGAACTATTTCTGTATTGATGGACAGGACATAGAGGATACAGTAGCAGGTGATTCACGTGAGCTGGATGCCAAACCTATCTTAAAATGATATAAGAAAGAATCTGAAGAGAAACAACCTTTTTTTTTAAAGGCTGAATTACCTGGAGGATTGACTCAAAGCTGGAAGGTAGAGATTAGTTTTTGGGTAAGTGCTGGCAAATCATATTGTCCTTCCAGCAGTACACACAATATCAAAGCTACTACTACACTTAATATAATTCATAAACATATTACATATTTCTATTTTTGACTACAGCTCTTTTAAAAGGCTTGTTTCACCTCTTTGTTCCTCAAGTTGTAAATCAAGGGGTTCATCATTGGAGACAACAGTGTGTAAGAAAGAGAAAACAATTTGCTACTGCTGCTTGAATAAGAAGCTTTGAGTCTCAAGTAGGTCACAATGCCAGGTCCATAAAACAGAGTGACCACAACTAGGTGAGAAAAGCAGGTAGAGAATGCTTTTCCCTTGCCCTTCACTGATGGTATCTTGAAGATGGTGTGGAGAATCTGGATATATGACACAACTATGAATAAGAAGAGGACTATGATGAAAAGGACAGCTATTATGTAGGTGGTGATTGCATTTTTGCAGGTGGTCATGCAAGCCAACTTAAGCAGAGGCAGCAGGTCACAGAAAAAGTGATTGATCCCATTGGGACCACAGTATGGAAGGGTAAAGATGAAAGTTGTCTGCACTAAGGCCACCAAGACCCCAGTAAGCCAAGGCACAGCTGAAAGCAAGAAGCACGTGTTCCATCTCATCGTGGTCGTGTAGTGCAGAGGCTGGCATATGGCCACATAGCGGTCGTAGGCCATGGCAGCCAGCAAACAGCATTCTGTCATCCCGAGGAGGGAGAAAGCATACATCTGTGTGGCACAGCCCCAAAAGATATGTTCTTCCTCTTTGTGAGAAAGTTCACTAGCATCTTGGGGATGGTGGATGTGGTATAGCTAACCTCCAGGAAGGAAAAGTTCTTAAGGAAAAAATACGTGGGAGAGTGAAGGGTAGCATCTACCATAGTGATTGTGATGATGAGGATGTTTCCCACCAAAGTACTGAGGTACATGAACAGTAACAGGCAAAAGAGAGAGCCTTGGATCTCTGGAATGTTGGAGAAGGGTAACAATTGGAGATAGGTCACCACAATGTGATTACTGCTGTCCATGTCCCTCAGGTGTCTTTTAACTGCAGAAGTCATTACATGTCCATTTTCTAGTTAATCTAAAGAAATACAAAATAGTAAATTGAATCTTTATATATGTTACTTTCTAATAGGACAAGATCCCAGAAAAGGAAGTGTTGTGTTTAGGTATTTTTAGTGCTAAGGACTGTTTAGTGGAGAAAAGCAAGGTGGTTTCCTTCACACAGCTTTTGTTAATTAGGAACACTAAAAAAATTAGAAAAGTTTTATCATTTTCAACAATTCTCTTCTTTGGGAGTGATCTCAATTTTTGTTTTAAGATTACTTCCACTTTTATCTTTGAGTATCTAGCACAATTTAAGACACTAAAATGCAATAATCACTATTAAATTATTAAACTCTTAATAAACATCTTATAAAACTTAACACATTTATCAGACTACTTTATACCTTAAAACATGTAATTTAATCTTCTTTAGGACTAACTTAAACTTTTCTTATTGAAATTATCTGGTACTTTAACAATACTAATCAAGATCCTTAACACTATAAGAATAAACTTAAGTTTAGAAAAAAAAAATCTATTATTTAAAGTAGTCAACCATCCTTTTGAGACCTTTTTCAGTTTTAGATTAAATAGTTTTTATTGAATCTACACATTCTGTTGCATCTCATTTTGCAAATTTGGAATAAAATCCATAAACCTACAATTAATATCAAAACTATGGTAACTATACCAATCAATTTCTTGCAGTTGCACTTGAATTTGGGATCCATGACATTATCCAATTAACCACATCTTCCCCTTGATTTTCTTGTATTTCCTGAAGTAGGAAATATTTCCTTGTAGACAGATATAAGAAGCTGTAATTCAGGAGGAAACAATTAGTTACCTGCTGAGCCACTTGGACCCTCACAAGTCTATGGGACCAGATGGAATCCATCCTAGGGTGATGAGGGAGCTGGTGGAAGAGCTCGTCAAGCTGCTCTCCATCATCTACCAACAGTCCTGGCTCACTCGGGAGGTCCCAGATGATTGCAAGCTGGCGAATGTCACAACCATCCACAAAAAGGGCCTGAAGGAGGACCCAGGAAACTACAGGCCTGTCAACCTGAGCTCAGTGTCTGGCAAGGTTATGGAGCAGATCGTCCTAAGTGCAATCACACAACAGCTACAGGATGGACAGTCAGACGCAGGCAGCATGGGTTTAGGAAGGACAGGTCCTGTTTGACCAACTTGATCTCATTTTATGATCAGGTGACCCGCCTGGTGGATGAGGGGAAGGCTGTGGATGTGTCTACCTGGACTTCAGCAAAGCCTTGGACACCATCTCCCATAGTATTCTCCCGAAAAAGCTGCAGCCCATGGCTTGGACAGGGGCACTCTGTGCTGGGTAAAGAACTCGCTGGAGGGTCGGGCCCAGAGAGTGGTGGGGAACGTTGCTGCATCCAGTTGGCAGCCGGTCACTAGTCGTGTCCCCAAGGATCAGTGTTGGGCCCAGTTCTGTTTAGTATTTTTATTGAGGACCTGGATGAGGGGACTAAGTGTACCATTAGCAAATTTGCAGATGACACCAAGTTGGGGGGGAGTGTCAATCTGCTGGAAGGTAGAAGGGCTCTTCAGAGGGACCTGGACAGACTGGAGAGATGGTCTGATTCCAACGGGATGAGGTTTAACAAGGCTAAGTGCTGTATCCTACACTTTGGCCACAACCCCCTGCAGCGTTACAGGCTGGGCACAGAGTGACTGGAGAGCAGCCAGGCAGGAAGGGCCCTGGCAGTTTGGATTGACAGGAAACTGAACATGAGGCAGCAGTGTGCCCAGGTGGCCAAGAAGGTCAATGGCATTCTGGCCTGGATCAGGAACAGTGACCAACAGGTCCAGGGAAGTGATTCTTCCCCTGTACTCAGTGCTGGTGAGGCCACACCTTGAGTATTTTGCCCAGTTCTGGGCCCCTCAGTTCAGGAAGGATATTGAGGGGCTGGAGCAGGTCCAGAGAAGAGCAACAAGGTTGGTGAAGGGACTCGAGCACAAGTCTTATGAGGAGAGGTTGAAGGAGCTGGGGTTGTTTAGTCTGGGAAGAGGAGGCTTAGGGGAGACCTCCTCACTCTCTACAACTACCTGAAAGGAGGTTGTAGCCAGGTGGGGGTCGGTCTCTTCTCCCAGGCAGCTATCAGCAAGACAAGAGGGCATGGTCTGGAGCTCTGCCAGGGGAGGTTTAGGTTAGCTATTAGGAAGAAATTCTTTACAGAGGTTAATCAGACATTGGAATGGGCTGCCCAGGGAAGTGGTGGATTCTCTGTCCCTGGTGGTTTTTAAGATGAGACTGGATGTGGCATCAGTGCCATGGTCTAGTAACCACGGTGGTAGCGGATCAAGGGTTGGACTTGATGATCTCAGAGCTCCTTTCCAACCCAGCTGATTCTATGATTCTTTGAAAAATTCCAGTGATTTTTCTAATTTCTACCAAATCAGTTTGAATTCTTAAAGTCTGATCTGCATATACACAACAACTGGTGTTAATGACTGTGCACACACCACCTTTGGAAGCCAGAATCAGACCTAGAGCTGTTCAGTTTTGTTTAACTACTTTTGAAAGGCTGATAACTTCTTGCTGCAAAGCTCTAATTACGTTTGTTTAGTTTTCTATTTGTTTAATTACTCTGGGTATGTAACTACATCTTTCTGCAATTCAGGTACTCCTAACCATGGTAAAAGTCCTCTCACAAACTGGTGGAATCCAGAGGACCTCTCAAGGGATTTAAATTTCATTTGTGGCTTGTTGTAAAAGATTGTTGATGTTCTCTGAGGAATTCTGATTTATCAATGACACCTATTTTTGGTACTACAGGTCCAGAGGTGCATATTCCTTGCCATGCAGGAGATAGAGCTTTTCTAACTTGGTTTCTGCAAAGCAAGTAGTATCCTATGTTATCTGGAATACACCACCAACGTGTATTTAAAATTCTTGTTCCTGTCACATGTAAATATGAATGACATTTGGGATAATCTTCCACCATCATTCCTTGGTGATTCCATTTTCTGGTGGGGCGCTACACCTGGTCCTCCTTCTAGGCATCTTTGAATACAAGAGGGCTCAGTAACTGCCATTTTACTGACAACATTTTTTAATCTATGGGGGGGTTGGTCTGCTTTTCTGTCCAAAAGTAACATCATTCCAGTTGGAGAAAGAGCATTGGAAAATACATCTGATGTTGGAAGGCCCACCATCTGAATACTTTCATCTGAATGAGTGGAAAGTTGAGAACAAACAACACAACACAAAGATAAACCTTTTAACATCTCTCATTTTAGAGTCTCTGATTCTGTTGCAACTTTATCTGTAGCAGATTTGCTGTTTGCTGCACTGTCCAGTGTGGTCCTTCTGGGTCCAGAATTGGCTTGATTCATGTGTAGTGAATCCAGGAGTCTCCACCCATCATTTTCACAGCTATGTGAGTAGTCAGGAGAACTTGAAATTGTTGTTCCCACCTGCGTGAGTGGTTCCTTACACCATGTCCAGACATACATCCAGTCTCCCGGCTGGTGAGGTTGTGCATGAATATCCAAGGTTTCCAGTGAGGCTAAAACAACAAACTCATGCAGTAATAAAAGTATTTTTCCCAAAGAGATTACATATTCTCTTAAACTGTGATTACCTGTCACATACTTCTCTCCAGGAATAGTTACAGTTTGATATGGTCTCCCGTGGTGGGGAAAAAGTGTTTTCCCCCTGGAGTTAAAAAATGGTAACCCCCAAGGGGGTGGTGTCACTTGATGTTAACCCAATCAGTGCCCCTGCAAAATTTAAACATATCACACCAGACTGGAAAAGAAGGATGATGATGTAGTTGGAGGAGAAGTGGCCATATTCTGAGACAACAAAGAGAGAGAGAGAGAGAGAGAGAGAGAGAGAGAGAGAGAGGACTAAGCTCAACAAAGACAGTTTTGGGGTAAGACTGAATTGAAACTCCCCAAAATCCCTTTGAGACCCCTCCTGGGAGTTGGGGGTGGACTCCTACTTGATGGAAGTCCTAAAATGCAGCATGCGACAGAGAGAGGAGCTGAAAAGCTCATAGACATCCTGGAAGCTGGACTGGAACGGACGGACGGAATGCGGAGGAGGTGGCCTTGCCCCTCTGCTGCTGCCAGGCTGGCAGTTTTGAGACAGAGCAAAGGAGCTATGATAGGACATTTAGGGCAAAGACTGAACTGAAAGCTACCCTAGACGTTGTGACTCAGGGGGAGCTTAAATCCCCTGAGGAAGGGACTTTCACAAAGATGCCCCTACACTTCATGATAAGATGTGATGAGGTGAGCCTTGTCCTGGCTATTGCAGTCCATGGGAGAGAGACCCTCGATTGGACCCAAAGGGTCAAGAGGGGTGAGAGAAGACCCCCTTGTGTGTAATGGAGAGAGAGATCCAGTTACAATCTAGCTACGACTGCTGCATTGAAGAGGAGAGACACTGCTGCCCTGAAAGTGGAAAGGATCTTTCCTTCTTCCCTTCTGGACTTTTATTGGAGGGAAAAGAGATTTGATCCAATGTAAATACTGCTTTATCATAGGAGAGATACTTAAGATTATGTATATAATGTATCATAATATTTATTTGTGTAATAATTGTAATATAATTCCCTTCCCCCCATATTGAGTCTTGTGTTGTGTCTGGAAAACCCCTCTCACACTGGGGTGAGTTGTGGGAGGGGGGCTTGGACTTGGGAGTTGGATTTTCGGGGGTCTCAAACCACAACATCTCCCATAAAAGATTTCACATGGGCTTACCTTTTCCTTGCAACTTGACTGGATTCTAGTTTTTAACAATGCCAGAGGAAGAGCATGTGTCCATTTAAGTGAGGTTTCTTGACAGATTTTGTGTATTTGCCTTTTCAGGCTTTGGTTCATTCTCTTAACCTCCCAATTAAATTGTAGTCTCCTAGGAGTACACAAATCCTATTTGATTCCTAATATTTTAGACAATTTTTGCAAAATTCTGCTACAAACTGAGGTCCCCTTCCTGAGG